CTTTTTTTGTCACAAAGACAATAAGGTTAAGACCACAATCAGCACTGAGTCCTCCTGTTTTCTCTGAAGTGCCCAGGTGCTCATTTACCTGGAGTGTACAGTATTTGATCCAATTTCCTTACCTATTTGTACGGAGATTGTTGAACATCTAAAACCTACCTCTTGTCCAAATGATATTATTCCGTCACACTTTTTTAAGCAAATTTTTGATTTCAGATTTCCTATTTTTTATTAACCTTTGTTTGAATACTGGTACGGTTCCGGACTGCCTAAAACATGCTTCAGTCACTCCCCTATTGAAAAAATCAAATCTCGATACATCGGATTTAAGTAATTTTAGACCAATCTCTAATCTTCTATTTATTGCGAAAATCATGGAAAAGGTTGTTCTTAATCAACTCAACTCCTTTCTGAGAAAAAATTCATTATATGATGCCTTCCAGTCAGGATTTAGGAAACTACACAGTACCAAATCCGCTTTATTGAAAGTCACCAATGACATTATGCTGGCTACAGATAATGGGAATGCGGTTGCCCTGGTCCTTTTAGATCTTAGTTCTGCATTTGACATGGTTGACCATTCAATTCTTATATCACGACTGACAAACTTGGGTATCCAGGGCACTGTTTTAAATTGGTTTCAGTCTTTTTTTATCCAATAGAACTTTTTCTGTTTGTATTGGAAATTGCACCTCCTCTGCAGCTCCTCTTTCCTGCGGTGTACCTCAGGGATCCATTTTAGCCCCAACATTATTTTCCTTATATCTGTTACCACTGGGTTCTATTTTTTCTAAACATGGAGTATCATTTCATTTATACGCTGATGACACCCAGTTGTATTTCCCATTTAAGCGAAACAACTCAAGCTCTCTAGAGGTCCTACTTGCATGCTTTCAGGAAGTGAAGCTTTGGCTGGCACAAAACTTTCTGGCTCTAAATGAGAACAAAACTGAAGTAATACTGTTTGAACCCTGTGATCGCTATGATTTTGGTATTCTTGACCTTGACGAGTTAAACCCTCGTGTTACATCATCTGCAAAAAATCTAGGTTTTGTGTTTGATTCAGGCCTTAAGTTTGATCAACAAATAAACTCTGTCGTTTTTTCCACCTACGTCGTCTTGCAAAAGTTAAAGCCTTTCTCTCTCCAAAGAATTTTGAAATAGTGATTCATGCTTTTATCACCTCACGAATCGACTATTGTAATTCACTTTATATTGGAACTAACCAATCATCCATCGGACGCCTTCAACTAGTACAAAACGCTGCCGCCAGACTGTTGACAGGTAGGCGCAAGTTCGATCACATCACGCCAATCTTAACTTCCTTAAACTGGATACCAGTTGGAGAAATACAAATTTGTCAAATGTTTAATTTAGGTTTCCACTCCAATGGTATAAAAACTGATAAAGTCTCCAGCGAGAGTCTCCTTTCCCGATAGTCCTGTTTTTGATTGGATTAGCAATGGGGGAGACTTCCACCTTTTGTCTTTAATGGCTCTGGGATGGCTCTTTGGAACCAGAGTTCCTGCCACTATCAGCATTTGAATAGTTATGCTGATTCAATCGGATTGGTAATGGCCTCAGAGTAGGGTGTGTTCCTAATTCATTTGCATGCTTTGTTTCAGTTTCTCCCCCCCTCAATGTAAACTCCTCCCCTCTAAATGTATAAATTGTAAGGGAATATTCTCCCTTAGTTAGACTATCCTTGAGATGACTACAGCTACGCAATAAAGAACTTCTGCGTGAAAGATACCTCAAGAGTCTCCTGGTCTGTTGCGTGGAAGAATAAAACTTCACTACACAGTCAAACAGAGAATTGAGTTGAAAATTTTATTTTTTGTTTTTAAATCACTGTATGGCCTTGCACCAGGCTACTTATCTGATCTAATACTCTTCCATAACCCTCGTAGATCACTTAGGCCCCGTCCACACTACTGCGTTTTCGTTTAAAAACGGAGACCTTTTGCTACGTTTGCACCTCCCGTCCACACTAAAACGAGAAAAACGAAGACCTAAAACGGAGAAGTTTAGAAACGCTGCAGCTGCGTTTTGCGTTTTGAATCTCCGGAGGGCGTTTTAGTGTGGACGAGACAAAACGGAGGTGTTTACAAACGATGACGCAGAGGCTCACGCTAGGCTCTATGATTGGATGTTATCAGTCATGACGTGTCCTTCCCTGATTCGCCAACCACTGTTTACACCGGCGCGCGCATGCCCAGTGTTGGTGAATGGTCACGTGATCCACGTTTTCAGTCGTTTTAGTGTGGACGGAGATCAATTCTAATACGCAGGTAAAACGCTAGTGTGGACGGAGATCGTTTTCGTTTTAATTCTCCGTTTTTAAACGAAAACGCAGTAGTGTGGACGGGGCCTTAGGTCTAGTAACCTCGGATTGCTCGCAGTGCATAGATCAAGACTGAAACATTGAGGTGACCGCGCCTTTGCAGTTGCAGGCCCCAAATTGTGGAACAGCCTACCACTCTCAATTAGAACAGTCACGTCACTTGCCACATTTAAATACAATCTCAAAAAACATTTTCTTAATGTGGACCCTTAAAGGGGGGGTTGACTTTTTTTTCTTTGCATGATTGTGTTTATGGGGTGCAATATAACATGTATTCGTGGTTTTTCTTTTTTTAAAAGTCTTATTTTTCATAAACTTCACCTTTATTGTCAGCCGCGCTCTCCTCTGTCCTCGAACGAGCGGTTGACTTCCTGAGTCTATGAAAACACTCCCTCAGAAACACGTCGTGGGCTCAGATTGGTTAGTTTGGGCCGGTGTGTTGTGATTTGCTAAACTGTCGCTCACTTTCTCCGGAAAGTTAACGCCCATTACCTTAACGGGCAAAACGTGCATGTCATGAGCTCCGGTCCAGATGTAAATATGCGTCGAACTGCAGTATTAGTTTGATGCAGAATCAGACCGAGAAAGCCGCGATGAAGAGAGTCAAGCAGAACCTCACCACACACGGCTCTTAATAAACGTTTCTGAATGATAATTTGCTACATTTTTTTACTTTATACACGTTTGTTTTACACAATAGCATCTGACTGGCAACAATAGCAACTGACTGGCTACTAATGTTATACTCAAACAGCGGTGGCAAGTTTACGTTCTTGATCAAATCGAAAATAACGTCATAAAACATGTATACATAAAAAATACATTTACAACATTAGCACTTATACAAAATTCATGTTTGTACGTGTTTGTCGTAGACACAAAATAGCATAACTAATAGCCTAGTGGCAATAAAGCCAGCGCTGACATTTGATCAAACTAAAACACAAGGCTACGTCTGGAATTATACATGCAAATACATTTAAAATGGTTAAGTCTTAGCCTACTTATAGGTTGTGGTCCAACAACTGCTGCCTCTGGTTTTAAAATTGGAACTGCTTCATGTTTACAGTTTCTTGTTGAATCCGGTGTTGAATTCGTGGAGATTCTGGAAGCTGTCTTCCGTAAATGCGCAGCACAGAGAGCAAGATTACGATCGTCATTTTCAGGAACATAATTAAACATAAACTGTATCCATTGTTGACGAAGTACAGCGTCCGTGGGAAGTTCGAAGACATAAGACCTGACAGCTGCGTGAACAACTCACTCGACGACGACGAGCTGGAGCTGCTAAAATATGGCCATGCCCTTTTCTGCTTATTCCGGAGGGAGGGGTTGATGCAAATGTGTGGGTTAGTGACGTACCATAACCCAGCTGTAGTCCCAATCCAGTTGTTTTTGTAGGCAATTAAACTTTCTGATTTTTACAAGACGATATCTCTGCTTACACTGAACTTTCAGCGCTGCAAATACTGTTCATGCAACAGCAACATTACACACTATTTAAAATGAAAAAAGTGAAATCGCAGTCAACCCCCCCCCCCTTTAATGTATTCTCTTATGAATTATATTAATTCCACTATTCTCTTTATGTCAGTAACAGTATTTATTGCTCATGCTATTTTTATTATGTTGTATTACCTGTGCTCTGATTACTCTGTCCTGTTCAGCCCTTTGGTCAACCATGGGTTGTTTTTAAATGTGCTTTATAAATGAATAAAAGAAAGAAAGAAATATTTCATGACACCAGTCTGTTAGATTTGTTGCTAATCGCTTTTTTGAAAATTTGTCACTAGATGGGTCTGAATACTCACTAAATATAGCGACAAAATCGCTAAGTTGGCAACACTGCGTGCGCACGGTAGCCTATAGCGCCACCCGCGTATCCCATAGTGCAATCCCATTATTGCAGGATTTATTTAAAGAACTCACAACTATATTACTTATCCCGTCTCATAATATAATACAATCAAGTGTATGAATTTTCTAAGTCATTGTAATCCACACATTTATAATATTACATATTGATCAGTTCACAGTGTCCTCCACACATTTGAAAATGCTCAAACACAATATGAGAGTATATTGTAAACTAATAAGTTAAATCCAGGCAGGGTTGGGTCTGCTTTGGCTAAACAAGCTCAACTTGGTACACCTTTAGGCAATGTAGAATGATTGATAATAAACACTTGCGCATTTTAAGTAATGGACTTATTAATTAAACTGTAAAATGCTCAAGTGTTTATTATCAGCTTCATGTTCAAGATTCATGTATATATATTGAGTGCCCTGTGTTTTTATAAAGTCCCTCCTCCACTAGCAAGGTGATGCTGAAAGTCCCAGCTTGGAGTTTGCAGCAATCAGATATAAATTCCATCTCAGACTCTTTTGTGTTTGGACAGACTGAGCAGTGCATAAGTGGAGCTGGTGTTAAACGCTAACCTTGATGATTGTGTTCTGGAGAATTATGCAGTGTTACTTAGGATAAAATAATTAATTGAGAAACAGGGAACAGGGTGTGAAAACTTGAAGTGGGAGAAAATCCTCAGCATTTACACTTGTATTATATTAAAGATGCATGCAGATTCAAAATAAGCAATTGAATGGTATGGCATGAGTGTTAACATTTTGTTTGAAGGTCTCTTAATATGTTTTTCAGTGTTAGAAAACATCTCTGGAAAACAGAAGCTGAACCTGGTGCTGTGTGGAAGTGATGGATCACTTACAGTCTCTGTTTCCAAACTTTTACGAGGGAAAACATGCGATCCTTCACATCAGAAGGCGAACAGTGAAGAGTGTGTGAAGATAGAGGAGAGGATACATGATCGTGTGATCAGTCTGGTGGAGCTTCCAGCTGTCAATCATCTCTCAGAAGAAGAAGTGATGCGTCAGACTCTCCGCTGTGTGTCTCTCTGTGATCCTGGAGTTCATGTTTTCCTCATCATTATTCCTGTTGGTCCACTGACTGATGAAGACAAAGCAGAAATAGAGAAAATCCAGAAGATATTTGACTCCAGACAGCACTTTATGGCGCTCTTCATCTCAGATATCAGTGTTGAAGATCCAGTGACAGAGTTTGTCAAATCCAGCACAGATTCTCGGAGGTTAATCAGTTTCTGTGGAGGTCAGTACAGAGTGATGGAGTTAAAGGAGTCTGAAAACTCACGACAGATCCCAGAACTACTGGATTACATAGAGAAGATGAAGACTGAACCATATTCACTTCAGATGTATGTGAAAGCTCAAGAGAAGAGAATCAAGCATGAAACAGAGGAGAAATATAAAGAAGAACTGGAGAAACTGGAGAATGAAAATAAAGAATTAAAAGTGAGGATTCAATCAGATGGTGAGTTGATGGACCTTCTTGATATGAGGAGACATTGGGTTTCAATCACTGTGTGGATTATTTCATATTTGTAAACACTGAAGAACTTCCTACGTAAAATATCTGCCTAATTCACAACATGTTCGTACATACATAAATTTGTTGTTAACATCATTCTGATGTCTGTGAATTTGAAGTATTCAAAATGACCGCACAAGGTTAGTCATTTGGATAAAACACGACCAAACCATCTCCATAAAAGGGCTTTCCTGACAGCCTTTCTTCATTCTCGTCAAACTTGCAGACCTTCTCGTCTGATCCTCGATGACATACTTGCCAAGTGTTCCGTTCTCATCAGATCTCACAATAAACACCTTTTATACAGACCCAGAATATAGAACTCTCATAGCCAGCTGTATATACAATAAGATTGATTTGATTTCCATTACACTAGAGTAGATGTTAAAACTTCATGCTGATTTATACTTGGCTTTCACCAAGGTAAGCAAAACTAAGACGTAGCTTTACAGTAAACTATGCTTCTCCATCCATTTACGCTTCTTTCCATATGGTGGTGTGACTCCTCTTCTGTCTGGCGTTAACGGCTGCACTGTACTTGCCGCGTCAGCACACACGACGGCTGCAACTACAGTGTGGTCTCCCTAGTGCAGTGGTTCTCAAAGTGGGGTCCGCGGACCCCTGGTGGTCTGTGAACTATAGCCAGGGGTCCGCGAAATAATTTATAACAGCCTACCGTTTTTTTCCAGACTATAATTAGGCCTAGTTGTGTTTTCTTTATCATCCGAAATCCTGCTAGTTATTCCAAAGTAACTTATAATGAATTTAATGTCAAATAATAGCCCACAAAGTAGACACTTAAAGGTTTACAGATAGATAATATATCTGTATTTCTTATGTCTGTTCGTTAAGTAGACTATCCGCTGTGGTTGATTTTGCGGAACGTGCGCCAGAAAGAAGACAGAGAGACCCGCGTATGAACCCGCATCCGGTTGTTTTCTTTATTTTTAAAAGGCATGATATTTTGTAGTCATTTATAATGTAGCATATACACACACAAAAAAAAAATCACACTTTACCGTTTCGAATGATGTACTCTTGTCTTATCTGTATGAGCTTATAGGGGAAATGAAGCGGTGAATCAAGTTTACATGATTTACAAGATGGATTTCCAATATAATCAACAATTATATAAGGAACATTACAAATGGAAACATTTAGAAGAAAAAAAGAAAAAACTTTGTATCTTTCGCCGCCAGGGCGCCGCCATTGTGCAGTTGACGTCACGGGGTTGGTTGGGTCAAGTTTAACAAGCTCTGGGCACTGAAAATCGCGACATCAAACTGTGTTTATACCAGTGTTTTGACCGCGAACGACTAATGTTAGGTACAGTCATTAGACAAAAAGATGACGTCTAATGTTATATGTTGACAAACTGCACATAGAAACATTGTTCGCGATGTCTGCCGTCAGATATTCCCATCTCGTCAACACCTTGTAAGTTAGCATGTATTTGTGAAAGGGGAAATGAAACGTCCATATTTTTGCAGTGGTAGTGCTAGTAGCTACAGCCTACATATACTAGGAAAAAGTGTCTCCGCTCTGACATCCTTCAGGGAAAGCATCGCTGCTTCCATACGTCTAACTCCCGGCACAGCATGGTAAACGTGCGCGCCGGTGAAGCAGAATTGACCACCCAGATAGCAAACTGACATTGAATCAACGTGAAAATATGACATCGAAACAACGTTGATCTGACATTGTTTTGCTCATCGAATTAACGTTGAACCAACGTCAGACGCGTCATTCTTTCAAAACTAACGGAAAATCAACTTGAAATCAACGCGTTGTTTCAACGTTATGAAAGCAAACCAATTTTCGATTTCATTTAGCTTTGAAGAATGCCGCGTCTGACGTTGGTTCAACGTTAATTCGATGAGCAAATCAACGTTGTTTCAATGTCATGAGAGACGTCGTTTCCACGTTGATTCAATGTCAGTTTGCTGTCTGGGTCTTGACAACAGATGGACTCTGGAGGGCAACAACAGATGGACTTTGACACGGAGGGCATCGCAGTACAACAGCCACACTGACACCTGGTAAGTTAGCGTTGCAAACCCGCTCTTCGCCCCAAACCACCACCGGCTGTTCTACACAGCAACGTAACTCACATGGTGTTGACGAGATGGGAATATCTGACGGCAGACATCGCGAACAATGTTTCTATGTGCAGTTTGTCAACATATAACATTAGACGACGTCTTTTTGTCTAATGACTGTACCTAACATTAGTCGTTCGCGGTCAAAACACTGGTATAAACACAGTTTGATGTCGCGATTTTCAGTGCCCAGAGCTTGTTAAACTTGACCCAACCAACCCCGTGACGTCAACTGCACAATGGCGGCGCCCTGGCGGCGAAAGATACAAAGTTTTTTCTTTTTTTCTTCTAAATGTTTCCATTTGTAATGTTCCTTATATAATTGTTGATTATATTGGAAATCCATCTTGTAAATCATGTAAACTTGATTCACCGCTTCATTTCCCCTTTAAATAAGAGTATTCCTTTGTTTCCATTGCTGAGGAAAAAAATCCCACGTAATTGCGTCGGCGTCTCATGTGCGTGCACAATATGACAGTTCTAGCACTGCTAGATAAAAGTGCATAGGGACAGGGCCGTAACATATTAACTTAATTTGGGGCTGCAAGGATGTTTTTGCGATGATATCTGACCTTCTGGTCTGAGCTGCTTCAGCAGAGACTAACAGCTCATCAATGTCAAAATGTTTGAGTCAGAGATGAATTCAAAGCGGGCTTATGTTCAGAAGCTGCAAGCCGAGCACGAATCCCCGCACAACGCTTCAGTTAACGGTCATAAAGTGCGAGATAAGATGTAGGCCTAAATAGCTAAACTAAACAGCTGCTTTAGATTTCTAGATTTCGTTTTAAACAAGCGACTGAAACATTCAGTTTGCAAAGTATCAATCAAAGCTCAACTTTGGGAAAGGAAATAGCAACAGGTCAAGAGAAGCATACTGTGCCCATGAGATAACATAATTGATTCCTATTTAACACAGATATACTGTGTTTTTTTTTTATCTAATTACAGTGGATATAAGCTCAATTTAACAACAAACGCACCTATTAAACATATTGCCATTATTATTGTATAAATACAGGCTATATTTGTGTGCAGAATAGGCCTTATCATTGAAACTTTTCTCTTTTAAGTCCATTCCTGTTTGGAATATGTGATAGTGTTTTGATCAAGTTTTGAGAAAGCCTATATGCGAACAATAATCATATACATTCTGCATTTCCATTTTGTATGTGGATCATTCATTGTAAAATTTAAACTGACGTCTTGACAAAAAATGTATGCCACTGCCCACTGACATGCTTCTAAAGCTATTATTCAATTTGGGGGCCCTAAAACACCTTAAAATGCACATGTGTAGATCAAGAACATCCAAAATTCCTAAGTGAGGGACCCTAGAAAGATCACTTTTGGGACTTCAGTAGGCTATTAAGAAATTCCTGCATAGGACCCTGGGTGGAGACCATTTGTGCAAAAATATTTCATTAATCGCTCACACATTAACCTTGTGCTCAAACACTGTTAAATATGAGGGGGTCCTTGGATTTTTTTTCCCCTGTAAGGGGTCCCTGGCACCAAAATGTTTGAGAACCCCTGCCCTAGTGGACCAACACGACAACCGTCTAGATTGAGCCGAGTAGGAGACATCTCTAGGGTCTTCAAGTGGGCACCTTCTGTCCTCAGTGTTTCGTCGACTAGCCCACAACACCTCAAGAGGGCTCGACAGTGACTCTGGCGTCCCAGAGTCACCCCCTCCGTCCCCCACTCAACTCAGCCCAGCTTACTGAACTCTGCATTCCTCCTGCTGTTGAGACCTAACCACAATCTCGCGCAACCTAACCATACGCGCCAGCCCATTTGATTTGAAGCCCCACTGGTGCGTTATAATTCAGTGGCAAACGGTTCCGTATGGTATACCACCTACCGCAAAACACAATATCTGGCCAACCACCGTCATTCGAACAATATACACAGGAACGTAATGACTGTAATTACAATCCAACCTATACAAACAGACTCTTCAAGAATTCTACGAAACCGTAGCGTGGCGGCCTGTACACAGCCAGCTAGACTATTTCCGTCTCAACCAAAGCCAGTTGCTGCTCCTTTCTGCTGCTTCAGATAAGTTCTTTACTGTGCGACGCAACTCTTGGCCACTGAATCTGACGTCTCTGAGGAACCGGGTTGTAGAGTGTGCCACAAAACCTTGACAACTCACTTCCACTGGATAAACCTGGACTCTCCATCCTCACTGTTCTGCTTCAGTGGCCAGATGAGCATACCGCAGTTTCCTCCTCTCATATGCTTCATCTACCGCATCCTCCCATGGCACTGTTAGCTCTATTAGCTGAACAATGCGTGCTGATCCAGACCACAAAACAATATCTGGTCGTAAGTTAGTGGTAGCAATCTCAGGTGGAAAAATAAGCCGTTGATCAAAATCAGCCACATTCTTCCAGTCCCTAGCAGTTTCCAGTTGTCCTGGGCGAGAATGGGTTTTAACACCTTTTCTTGGTGGTTGCTCACCTGGGCGGAGAAATATTGTCTTCTGCGTGTAATGTTTTTCAGGCAGCAACTTATTGGTCATACTACGCTTACCTTCCAATGCTAAAGCCAAACATCGCACTACTTGGTCACGGCGCCAAGTAAATCAACCTTGGCTAAGAGCCACCTTGCATCCTGTCAAAATGTGCCTTAATGTGGCAGGTGATGAACACAAAGGACAAGAGGGATTCTCTCCTACCCGGAGGTTTAGGTTCTGCGGTGATGGGAGGACATCATATGTTGACCTAATCAGGAAACTGATTCTACTCTCATCCATTGACCAAAGGTCTTGCCAGCCCAACTTGCATTGTTCCACACTCTCCCATCTCATCCACTCTCCCTGCTTGGCCTGGGAAATGGCCTTCATACACCTCATCCTCTCCTCCTGCTATCGCACCCCGTTGACTACCAGCTTCCTCCTTTGAGCTGGGCCTGCCTTGTGCCATTTAGGAGGAGCTAAACTGAGCCCAAACCCCCCTCTTCTATGCTGTACCTGTCCCACGATATCCCCAATTTGAAAGGCAGCCTTTGCCTCTACTACAGATTTCTTTGACCACTTCCTACCGGTTTTTAACACAGGGGCTGCCTCCCTTACACATTTTTCGCTTGACTCTACTAAGGTCATTTCTAGCCTGACCTTGGCACACTTAAACTCCTTGGTTAAAGCAGAGACTGGCAGCTGCAATATTCGTTTACTATAAAGTCTTACTCTGCTGAGGCAGCGTGGAACTCCCAACCATTTCCCTGATGTATGAACTTATTAACGCTTCCAGCTTATCCACTGTTGTCAAAGAAACCTCGTACACAGTCAGTGGCCACAGCTGAGCACAGCTGTTAATGCTCTTCAACCCTTCCACTGCTTGTCGTCTAACTTCTCCCACTTGAACTGTGTCCTTAAGATCCCCATCGTACCATCTCCCAAGACTCTTCACTGGCTTCTCAGAAACTGTTGGTATTGCCTCACCATTAATGAAGAATGTTTTATCTACTACCTTTTACTTTAACTATCGAGAGACTCATTGATTTAGACGGCTTAAATTGAATTTGTGCCCATTCAATATTATCTGTTAAATTCCCAAATAACCGATTAGTGCAGGCTACTGTTGTAGTCATGGTTGTCATGTCATCCATCTATGCTCTGATTGGTGGTAGTCTCATCCCAGAAGCCAAGCACTCTCCTCCTACTACCCATCTTGATGCCCTAATGATTATTTCCATTGCCATAGTAAAAGCCAGTGGAGAAATGGTGCATCCTGCCATTATTCCGACCTCTAAGCGTCGCCATGCAGTGCTGAATTCTGGAGTTGAGAAACTAAATTGCAAATCTCCAATGTAGGCTTTCACTAAATTTGTTATTGACATTGGAACTCTGAAAAAATCGAATGCTGCCCAAAGAAGCTCATGTGGCACCAAATAATATGCATTAGCCAAATCCAAGTATGTCGCATGGAGCTCCTTCCTCTCCTTTTTTGCTGACTGAATTTGTTGCCAGATAACATTGATGTGTTCTAAGGCTTAAGCATCCTGAGAATCCTGAAATGCCCGCTTTTTGAATTGAAGTGTCAATGAAGCCATTCTTTAATAGGTAGGTGGACAATCTCTGGGCAATAATGCTGAAGAAAATCTTACCTTCAACATTTAATAGTGAAATAGGACGAAACTGACTGATGCTTGCAGCATCTTTTTCTTTAGGTATAAAGACCCCACCTGCTCTGCACCATGCTTTGGGCACAACCTGCTTTTCCCATGCCACTTTTATAAATTTCCACAAAATTCGCAGAACTCCTGAAGCACTCTTGTACACACTGTACGGAACTCCTTTAGGCCCTGAAGATGATGAAGCCCTTGCCTTTCTCACAGCCTGCTCTACCTCTTTCCACTTAGGTGCACAGACCTCCATTTGGTATTTTGGTGGATTGATAGGTGGTATGTCTGATGGAATTGACATAGGCTCAGGCATCTGTATGCGTTTCCTATGCGTATCTCTCTAGCTCAACCCTAGATGCTTTTAGAGTGCCATTCTTCTCACTGGTGAATAACTTCTTCACAAATTTGAATGGGTCTTTATAGAAATTAGCCCTTGCACGTTCCTTCTTTTTGTAGCGTTTCTTTAGGCGCTCAGCTCTGAGTAATGTTGCTAGCTTATCTTTTATGGCCTTTTGTAAGAGATTGAGTCCCTCCTTCTGACTTTGTTCTGCTCTTTTCAATTGCTTCCTCAGCTGTCTCCTTTCTCTAACTAACCCTTCCATTTTTTGCTGCCGTCTAGACATTACAGGGGTAGTTTGCACTTTTCCTTTCTTTTTTTCCACACCAAACCTCTCACTTCCATATGCGTAAATGATGTCCCCAAATTTATCCAGCTTCTTTTCAACTTTACCAGTTAATCTTTCCAATGCAAAGCATAGATCTCTGTTTACCATGTCCCATGCAGCTTTTTCACAAGCTCTTGGCCATCTAACTCCAGGCCTATGCCCGTTGAGGTTCTTTTCTCTCTTATGCTGGTTAGTCTGACCAGGTTCACAAGTATGAATATGTTCACCACTAACTGTGCAAGCCCTCCTCTCCTCTATGACAGGGGTGCTGATGTCCTGCGAGCTGTGGTTTGCTTCCTGTCGCTAGATTTCATTGACTTGACAACTGACTTGACTGACTTCGTAAGAAGTACTGATCAATGTGAGGCCCTTGTCCCTTCTCCCTCAAGCATTTCATTTTCCCCTGATGAACCTTCAAACCCCCTGACCGTTGTCGCCTTGCTCCAGCCACAGACACAAACTTGGAGTTCAATGACTTTACTAACTGCATGACTTGAGCTAGTCTTCCTCTCCATACTCATCTGTTTCCATTCCTAAGTCGTTAACCATTTTGTCCAACATGGAGTAAACTTCCGCCTCCGCTCTCTCAGACTCTAGGGGTATTTTTCTCTTTAATTTCTCAGAAGACTTGGGTGGGTGTCTCCAGCATCCTGTAAACACGGAGCTGGATACTGCCGACAAGGGCAGCTAACCCTTACCAGTCCCATTGGGGTCTCTTTCCTCCTGTCAGCTGTCTCTCCAGGCTGTCACAAGGTCTTTCACTATTCACTGCTGTCACTGGACGTATCCAGATCTTCATGATTTCCATTACACGAGAGTAGATGTTAAAACTTCATGCTGATTTATACTTGGCTTTCACCAAGGTAAGCAAAACTAAGACGTAGCTTTACAGTAAACTATGCTTCTCCATCCATTTACGCTTCTTTCCATATGGTGGTGTGACTCCTCTTCTGTCTGGCGTTAACGGCTGCACTGTACTTGCCGCGTCAGCACACACGACGGCTGCAACTACAGTGTGGTCTCCCTAGTGGACCAACACGACAACTGTCTGGATTGAGCCGAGTAAGAGACATCTCTAGGGTCTTCAAATGGGCACCTTCCATCCTTAGTGTTTCGTCGACTAGCCCACGAAACCTCAAAAGGGCTCGGCAGTGACTGAATCACCCTGTAATTTATTAGAATAAAAAGAAGATGTAGAATCATTAGTAATTTTTTAGAAGAGCACTTAGAAATTTGGTCGGAAGCCAGACTGAAAAGGAAATATAATATTGGAATCATTGAAATATTTTGATAATTGAAGGAAAATATTTTCACCACCCTATTAATAATTGAAATTGGTCTATAGTTATTAATGTCATGTTGATCACCGTTTTTATAAAATGTACGTTTCCAAGATAATGGTACATGTTGTCAATGATAAATTAAATAAATCAGACAAATGATAAGCCAGGACATGTGAGTTGTTATAGTTGTTGCGTTTCATTTTCTGAGAGTGCAAACATGATGGTAAGCCAACATCACATTGTAACATTAACTCAATACCATTACCATTGATCTATGGATGAAATTTCAACATTAATTGCGGGTGTAAAAGTGATGTTGTTTTAATGCAGTACACTTTGACACATTAACATTGTTTTAATGTTGTTTGAATGTTTGCTTGCTATGTGGGTTTCACTGTATGATTGGTAAACTTTGCAATTAAACCACAAATCAAGTGCGTTTCAAATCAGACCGATCAACTAATCCCTGTACTTTACATCATTCTGTGATGTGATTATCCTTGATGCGCACACCGCGATATCACTAAAACAAATATATTGTGCTTCCTTAATCATGATTGCTATCTTACCAGAGATGGGAAAAAAATCCAGTAAGTAAACGTGTCCGTGTCCCCAAAAATGTTGGTACTCAAAAGCACTTCCCTCCATGTTTTCTCGTGCAAATCATTCCTTTTTCCAACGAATGCACACACACCAGTTATGTGCAGCCATGATTATATTAATACATTAATTATTTCATGATTTCAGGAGCTGAATGTGAATCAGATGATCAGAAGTGTCTGAGGATTGTGCTGATCGGGAGGACAGGAAGTGGAAAGAGTGCAACAGGAAACACTATTCTGGGAAGAGAGGAGTTTGTGAGTAAAGCAAGATCAGATTCAGTAACGACTGTGTGTGAGAAGAGAGTTGGTGAAGTTCTTGTTCGATCAGTCGCTGTTGTTGATACTCCAGGACTCTTTGACACAACACTGTCAAATGATCACGTGGTGGAAGAAATAGTTAAATGTGTTTCAATGTCGTCACCTGGACCTCATGTGTTCGTCATTGTGTTGAGTGTGGGAAGATTCACCAAAGAAGAAGCAGAAACTGTATCTCTGATAAAGAAGATCTTTGGACATAAATCTGCTCAGTTCAGCATCGTCCTGTTCACTAGAGGAGACGAACTTAAGGATGAATCTATAGAGGATTATTTGAGGGAAAGTAACTCTGCAGAACTGAAGAAACTGATCAAAGATTGTGGAAACAGATTCCTGGCTTTTAATAATGGAGAAAAACAAGACAAAACTCAAGTGACTCAACTATTAAACATGATAGAAGAAGTGAGAAACTCTAATCAGGGTCGATACTTCACTAACAGCATGTTTGAGGAGGCAGAGATGTCCATTAAAAAGAGATTTGATGAAATAATGAAAGAGAGAGAGAGAGAAATTCAGGCTCAGAGAGAAGAATTACAGGCCAAATATGAGATGGACATGAAAATCATGATGAAGGGACTCGAGGAAGAGAAACAAAGAGCAGACGAGGAGAGAAAGAAAATGGAGAATCAAATCAGAGAAAAAGAGGAGAAACTGAGAAGAGAGTTTGAAGAGAAAGAGAAAACAGAACAGAAGAAACGAGAGATTGAAAACCAGAAACGATCAGAAGAGGAAAAACAGAGAAAAGCTGAATATAATCAAAAAATAGAAGAGATGAAGAGAAAAAATGAAAATCAGAGATTACAGTATGAAAAACAGCAAAAAGAAAGAGAAGAAGAAGACAGAAAGAGAGAAGAGAAATACAGACAAGATCAAGAAAAGATGAAACATGAACAAGAACGAATTACAGCAGAATTACAGAAAAAGCAAGAAGAGGAAACTAAAAAGAGAGATTTGGAGGAAAAAAGGAGGAGGAAAGAAGAAGAGGAAGAGAGACAGAGATGGGAAAGAAAAATAAAAGAGGCTGAAAGCGACAGAAAAGATATTCAAGAGGAAATTAAACGACAGCAGAGAGAATGGGAGGATAAAAATAAACGCCAGATGAGAGAACGAGAGGAAGAAGAAAGAAAGAGAAAAGAGAAACACGAAGAACAACTGAGAGAAAAACAAGAAGAACAGGAGAAAATGAGAAAGAGATTTGAGAGAGAGAGAGAAGAAGAAAGACAGAAGATAGAGGAGGAGAGAGAGAAACAGAGAAGAGAAAGAGAAGAAAAAGAGAAAGAATATGAAGAAAATAAAACTAAAATGGAAAGACATTATGAACAACTGGAGCGAGAGAGAAAAGAGGAGTGGGAGAAAAGAAAACGAGAAGATGATGAGAGACGAGAAGAAGAGAAAAAGAGATGGAAGAAAATGATTGAAGATCTGAAACAAGAACAAGATGAAGAGAACAAGAGAAGAGATGAAAAGGATAAGGAGAGAAAAGCAAGTGAAGAGAAAGAGAGAGATGAAATTAAAAAGGCATATGAAGAGAAAATAAAAATCATAAAGAAGAAACATGAAGATGAAGCCAGAAAACAAGCAGAAGAAATGAATGATTTCAGAGAGAGAAAAGAGCAGCACATTCAGGAGCTCAAAGAGATGCTGGAAGAACATCAGAGACAACACGAACTACTGGAGAAACTTTATCAACACCTGAAAGACCACAGAGAAGAAGAAATAAAAGAGCTAAAAAATCAGAAAGAAGAAATGAAAAAGCAACATGATCAGAAAGAAAAAGAAAGAAAAGAGCTACTAGAAGAAATTGAAAAGCTGAAAAAAAGTGATTGTGTTATTCTGTGATTTTCAAAGCATTTTAAACATAATAATGTGAGTTAAGAGAGTATTACTTCAGAGTGAACAGAACTGTGTCCATGGCAACGCTCTGTTTGTCAATGGTGAGTTATACTTAGCAGCGAATACATTAGAATTCAACCAAACCATGTAATAAAATCATTTAATCATTAAAGTCATTCAAATATACAATTATTTTCTTGCTTGATATGCTTGCTAGTGTTGTTTGATAATATGTTAGTAGCCTATGTGTTCATGAAATACTTGTCTTCATGTGTTAAAGACAATATAATCTATTTCAAGGTTTTATGAGATGATGATCAGTTTGATTGACACTTGATGAATTTGTGTTGTTCAGATTAATTAAACCGCGCATTGAAACCGAATATTTCTCAATAAACTGAACATTTTTACTCTCATTTCGTCTCCTGCTTTCTGCTTTTTCACGGCTTCCTCTAAAGCAGAGAGTCCGAGTGAAGAACAACAACAACATAATGGCAAACCTGGGGCCCGTTCTTCGTACGTTGCTTAAAACATCCGAGATCAAATGAGACATCCAAGATGATATTATCGTGCTCATCATGATCCAGCTAATTTGGTTCTTCGAACCCTCCTGCCAGTTATGATTAGTATCCACAAGTTTCCTACGCCCCATGAGGCCTTGCGTCAAAAGTGGGCGCGACTTCCGGTTGGAAGTAAACAAAGCGCGACTTGACATGCTTGACACTCGTTCATTCAACAGTTGACAGTCATTCAAGTTATAGCGATCCAAACTAGCTAACGATGTGGGAACACAACCTCAACGAAATTAAAAAAGGTGAAATAACAGTACCTTTACCCTCCACAGTAGTTGATTGGGAGTATTATAATAACATTATTAATAATCAATACTCATCAAGGCATGGTGACAGACAGTTGTGCGAGCTGACAAACAATTAAAATAAAAAATACACACTTAGTCATTGTGCTTTGGAGTTTATTCAAAATTATAAATGAATGTGCTGCTTGAATACATTAACTGGCACATTTGGTATTCTGTCAACACAGGCTTTGATCCTGAGTTTAGGTGCAACATAGAGAACAGCCAATCACATGCTGATAAAAGTTTATAGAATATTAAGAATTTAAACAAATGTACTCATGAAGATTCGTCGCCTTTTGGGAGGTGATGGAAACTACGGTCGTTGGCAGGATCAGAGACGGGCTCTGGCAGGATCACTCTGATTTCGTTTTCAGCTTATGTTCAAAACAATCACGTTTAAGCCACTGAACTAGTTTAGTCCGGTTATACATACAACCGCGAGCAGCACATGTTGTCCCTGAGCTCCGTAACGACATCTCTCATAAAGATTTGCGTCTTTAAATAGTAAAATAATTCTCCGAAAAACAGCTAGCCTCTTCGCTAACTAACACACAAAATACCATTGGAATGCTACTTCCGCCGCCTCACCGGAAGTTTCACCCACTTTATTTTTTACAGGAGCGCCCCTCGGAAACTTGTGGATAGCTGGATTGAGTTAAGTGAGATAATTGCGCGTTCATGCGCTGGGTTAAAAGGGGATATGTATCGATAGCAGAAACATTGATCAGCAACGCTGCTATTGGCTGTTCGCGCTCAGCTTTTTTCTCCACAGAAGAGCAAGATTTATTGCTTGAAGGATAAGCTGAATTTGAAAACTTAATTAAAACGCAGGAAACACATTAAAGTGTGCAAAAGCCAGGAGAGAGAGCCGGCAAAAAGTAGCAGACAAATTAAGTTTGTAGTTAGATGTTTTTATCACTCATTACAGTATATATTTTTATATTTTATTTATATTTTAATAATTTCTAAATAATTAATAACTTTTTTCATTGTAATGTCAGAGTCACACCCACTGAACATAGGAACAAGTAAAAGTGAAGTGCTAGAATAACAGTAATTTGTACTTACTAATCTCTTTTAAAAAGGCACTGTTAATAAACGTTTGCCTGTTTATAAAAGCAAGAAAAAGGCTGAGAAAAAAAGAAAAGCAAATCAAACAGGTGGTGGTCCTGCACCCCCACATTACCCAGGCAGAAGAGCTGGCCCTGGGGTTAAATGTGAACCTTGTGGAGGGCATCCTTGTGTTCAGCTCTTCCTCACACACAGCACCTTCACTGCTGGTAAATCAACTTTAAATGATCCTAGTACACTATAAAATCATTTGTTGCTGCATTAAATTAAATAAGCCTATAATCCAAATGGCTGTCCAGTCATATCAGCTGTTAAACCTTGAGTAGTAATGACTTGTGGAAGTCTACATGTGTGACTGTGAAACTACATAGTTAATGTAAAAAAATATATATGTTGCCATGAGTTATTGATCACATTTCCCCCCAGTGTACTTCATTATCACTTCAATACACTAACACTTTTATGTGTTCCCAAGCAAGTGGCTGAAGTGCAGTAAGTGGACTTTTTCTAATGTTACATCAAAAGGGAAGAAAGTACAACACTTTGTAATGCCCATTTTCCCCCAATGCACAGGACAGTGAAGGAACCCTCTCAGGTATCTTTAAGTGCATAAATAGCTTTACTTAATTTACACTTGAATATGTTATTTCTGAATGCAATATGAGTTGCAGGAGTCCACATCTACAGAAGAGTCTGCACAAAGCAGTGATGCAGAGGTGGGCAGTGTTGTACTTTACCTTTTAATTTTTGATGCATAAGCCATGTGTTGACAGGTTCACCCCTACCCCTAGAAAACAGAGTATTTTGAAAATACTTCACAACTTAAAGAAAAAAACTGGCACTAGAGATAGAGTTGCTTCATAGGAACTTCAGAATAAGTGCTAATATAGTATTTCACACAGAGTACAATATTATTTGCAGGCAAAAGATGACTTGATCACTGGCTTTTCTTTACAAAGAATAATTAAAATAAAACTCAAAGAACTATAATAAGCATATTTGTCTTGTCTCTTATTAAACATTAATTAAATGTTTTATATTTTTTCTGATGGTGCAATGTTGTGTAATGTCACAGGCCCTGTCAGTGCAACCCTCAGACTTTTCAGACACTTTAGTTGGCTAAAGTTGCCCTTGTCCTGGCTATAGCGGCATTGTAACTGGTCATGGAATGGGGTCATAAAACACCTGTCTCCAGGCAGGATCCTGCTGTAATCACCTGTATAATGGAAAAATTCAGTTCTGTTAGGATAAGTGTATAATACAGTGAGCTTGATATATTTTTCCTTACCACGTTCAAATAACGTGAATAAATCTCTGAAAATTCTTGAATCATGCACAGATGCTGGCCATATTTGTGATATTGAACATAGTCACACACCATCTAAGAGATGAGTCAGTCAACTGCCTTTATAAAATTTGATGTAATCTTACTAATCTGGATGAGAATCGCAATAGTGACTTGCCTGCACTGTTATTAAAGGGTACCTATTATGGCATTTAAAATGTTCCTAATATTGTTCTGGGAGTCCCCAACAACAGTTTTACAAGCATGCAATGACAAAAAACACTTTTGTTGTCTTCTAATATGCATTTATTTTCACCTGATTTGCTCACCGACTCCCATATGAATCGTTTAGCGAGTCCTTTTTCCAAAACCCGCCTTTGCGTGACGCTAATCTGCGGTGATTGGTCAGATGACCTAGCCAGTTGTGATTGGTATACTTGTAACAGGGACAGAATGTGTTCTGTTAAAATGTATGTATTGTTATAATTTACACAAAATAAGGTTTACTTTCACATATATCTGATATATATACTTGTCTTAGAATAAGGGTGTTTTTCCCTTTAATTGTTGTGACGTCATCATGTGTCTGTAAATTTCCTGCTTTGTCTCCACCTCTTCCTCTTGAGCATTGTTAATGCACTGAGGAGGTGAGTTATTTTTGGCTCTTCTTAATCTTAGTTAATCTTTACTTTAATAATTGGTTTTATGTTTATATTTTCACTTCAATGTATGCATATTGCGTTACTCTACATATCTGTATGGTTATTTCAGTGATTTTGTCCTGATTGTGTTATATTTTTGACTTTGATCCATATATGTGGAGATGAAAGCACATGGTGACTAAATGTACGTCACATTTGTTTTATAGTGATGTATAGGAGCGTCTCACTCAGGACTATCCTATGTGTTTTGTGTATCAGAGAGTAAACCAGTGAAACCGCCGCCTGTGGTCCAGTGTCTTTATCTACACAACGCAGACAAGTATTAATATAACTTGTGTCGCGAGCCACCGGTTACATACTCTGTGCAGATGTAGCGGTTGTTCTTCTGCGTTGTGTAATTTTAGTTGTTTTTGAATAAAAGAATGTTCCACGCAAAGCTGGTGATATGAATGATGAATTTAATCACAATGCCTGTATGATAAACACATAAACAGACAGGCACTGTTAACTTCAGCTCTTTTGCCTGCTAATCACAAAATACATGTTTAAGTACACCAGTTGGTTAATTACGAAACACATAGTAAATGCAATGCACAATATCTATTAATAAAGTAGACTAAATCTTTAGTATGCGTAACAAATATACGCATTTATATGCATGTCTCAAATTTCACTAAATCGAGATGTTAGTCACTTAGCCATTAATATATCTCACTCGTGACGCACACACCGCGCCGCCATTTACCGCAATGCACTACACACTCATTACCATTTCACAAATGAACTTAATTTAACAATTTAATGACACCAATAATAGTCAAATATAAAAGGGTACAAAATAGCCTATTACTTGTTCTGTAGCTGACGCTGGAAGGTCAGCTCAGGGGATGATATTTTGGTGATTTGAGTGGTTAACGTTTATTTTGACTTTATAGTTTATTTTTGGATTTCATAGTTTAAATGTGTATTTCTGTATGGTGAATTTCTTAATTTGTTTGCCGTTTGTATTTTATTATTATTCTATCGTTGAAGGTGAGTGTCATGTGATCCTGTGTGTGCTGATTAATTCAGCTGGACATGTCGGCGTCAATGTAATGATGAGATGTGAAACTAAGACCGCATGATAGTGCTCCTGACTTAAATCTACTGTTGGTTACCAGGCGAATACGGTAAATGTTGTAATACTTTGTATATTATGTTGGTTTGTGTTTGTAGTGGTGTTGTGTGTAAAATTATGGTTTGGTTTTCCTTTGTGTCTACTTTTCACGGTGTCTCTGGAATAAATAAACAAAAATGGACATCAGGGGCTCGTTCTTCGTACGTCGCTAACTCAGTTAGCTGGATTTGATTGTTGGCGATTTGCCATGATCTTGGATCGTTTGGTTCTTCGACGCTCATCCTGGACTTACTGTCATAGCAACAGGTCCGTCAGCTTGAACCCGCTCGCGAGCAGGCTTAAGCCCCGTTCACACCGCAAGCGATTTTGTCGCTGTGTGTCGCTAGCTCTGTACTGTGATGTCGCTTGTGGGCGTTCGTAGTGCTGTCGCTCTTGTGTTATTGGTAGACTGCACGTCTGGCCATATCTATACAAAAGACCATCACAAGTGATATATAATTTGACTGGGAATAAATGACTTTTAAGGCTAAAACGAAACCATATGCTGTTGGGAGAGTGTTTTTTATATCTCCACAGCTGTGAACAGTTGATTAAATAATTTACTAGATCAATGAACAAATTAAACTCACTCATACTGTCACA